CACCTGTGTTGCGTTTCCTTCCTCTCTCCTGCTTCTGTTTATTTTCAGCTTTCGTCTGGGCAGCATGTGCTGCCTTGGCCTTAATCGCCACAGCTGTCACAGCCATTTTCTTCATCTCAGCAACATCCACTCTCTAGGCACATCCATCTGCCCTGCTACACTGTCCCTGGAGGCACAATGGGTTTCCTGTACTGCTTTTGGAGGGTGTGACATATAGGGTCTCACATCAACTGGATGCTTAGTAAAATACCAACTGATGAAGAAGGCCCCCCAAGACCGTCAAGGCCCATAAAAAGCTGTAAGATAAGTCTGCTGAGCACCCTTCTCCTTCCACCCACAAAGCAATGCTTCAGTGCTAGTCTGCAGGAGCATGCATGGAGGAGTAAGTGGAATGAAGAGACCAAGTCACTGCTGTGCCACTGACCCTGGAGACCCCAGGAGCATCCTCGGCTGAAATACCTGGACAAGTAAAGGCACAATTTATACTCTCTAAAGTCCTATCTTAGGAAACAGTATATGTATGTACACATGTATGTAGTGTGTGTGAGTGAGTGGGTAGGTGGAGGAATGTGTGTTGCTTTTTTTTTAATCTTTCCAAGAGCATTGGAAAGTGGTCTCCATCCTGCTCCTGTATTTTCTGGCCCAAGGTATGGTCTCTGCCCAGCAGCAGTCTGCCCCTGCCCAAGGACACAGGTCATCTCTGTTCCCCTTCTACACTGATGTCTAAACTAGCTCACTTCCCAGTAGGGGAAGGACTAAGCACACAAATCATGAGGAATGTGTGTTCCCACAGAGCTGAGCAAAGGGATGATCTCAGAGGAGCCAGTGAAGGAAGACCCTTGACACTTCCCTAAGGATGAATGTCCTCTGTAAAGGGCTCCCGCCAGGACAGAAGGAAGGCGTGTGCTGGGAAAATCCTCAGCCTGCAGCGTGTGTGTTTCCAATTCTGATGTCCCACTTCCTCTCTGCATCACATTCCTTCTGGGTCTCAGCTGAGGAGCAAAGTGCAGTGTCTTAAAGGCTTTAAGATAAAAGGAGCTAAAATGGGTTTCAAGAAAACATATAATCCTATATAAAGTCAGCTTCTACTCCACCAGTTCGAAATTTTTTTTTTAAAGAACTTATTTTTAAATGCTGGCAGCCTATCTTTTTATAAATAAAGTTGTTTCCTTGTTTTATAAATAAAGTTCTTTATGTAAATTGGGTGTAGTGGCACACACATTCAATCCCAGTGTTCATGGGGTTTAAGGATGGCAAATTCCAGGCTGGCCACAACTACACAGCAATAGAGAGCTGGAGATGTAGTTCCCTTGGGAGACTGCTTGACTAGCGTACTGGAAGCCCCAAGTTCAACCTCCACAGCCTCATAAGTGAGGTGGTACAAGTCTGTAGTCTAGCACTCTGGAGGGGAAGCAGGAGAAACAGACAGCCAGGGTCATCTGCAGCTACATAGTGAGTTCTGGGCCAGCCTGGCCTACATAAGAGTCTGGTGGGGTGAGGTAATTTTTTTTAATGTTCATGTACACCTTTCAAACAATAATAAAAAATAGTAATATCCCTGATCTGGCCTTCCAAACCTATCTCGCAGTGGCCTTAGGAATGATCAATGATAATATCCATGAAAGTGATTTGGAATCTGCAAAGAACTAATCAAGTAAACAAGCAAACTATATCTATTCATACTATTTTGCTTATTTAGCTGCTGTTTGTTTTTTCAGACAGAGTCACTCCACATAGCTCTGACTATCCTGGAACTCAGTAGTCCAGGCTGGCCTTGAACTCACTGTCTGATTCTGCCTCCAGATTACTGGGATTAATGTCATACAGCACCATGACCAGCAATTATACAGTATTTAGTTAGAATCGAGCAATCAAACCTCACTTCTGCCCCTTACTAGAGACCTGTACAACTAAATATAATAGAACAAGAGGCAATCACTAAGCAGGGAGCTTTGGCTCGCCCCTACTAAAATCTCAGCACATGGGAGGTTAAAACAAGAGGACTACCATGAGTTAATAACAAGCACAGGTTATATAGTGATTTCCAAGACAACCTGGGACACAAAGTAAGATCTGTCTCAAAACAAAAATCAAAATAATATTTACTGGGTATGGTGCGTTGTGCCATAAAGCTAGCTAGGAGTGGGAGAAAGGGCTAGAGGATCAGGAATTCAAGGCCAACCTCAAGCTACATAGTGAATTCTAGGCCAGCCTGGGCTTGAAACCTTTGACCAAGGTATTTTAAATATTAACATAGTTACTGAATGGTAACTATAATCAGCATTAGCCTATTCAATTAAAAGCTAAATGTCTAGCTACTGAGAACAATGGGACAGAGATGGAAGAGAAACAAAACCCCACCAAAAGGAGGTTAAGTGGCACATGCATGCACAATAGATGCCAAGGACGCTACAATTCTCTTCTGAGACAAATGCCCATCCCACTCCTAGCCCACACTCTTCCCCAGTGATGTCACTACATCCCCGTTGCTTTGCTAGCTGTGCAGCATCCAGGGAAAGCCAGTCCTAAACTCCAGACTTGACAAAGTGATGATTCATTCCAGAAGGGGGTGCAGCCTGTTGCCAGACTTATCACACAATCCGGCATCCATTGGGACAGCCAAAGGCCAGAAACCAGCTATTTAAGGAGTCTCCCATTCATGTTTCCAGCAGCACTAATGCCCTTATGCTTTACATTTGGTTAATGTATGGACCAAAGAGCACTTGGGAAGAATCCAACTGGGCTGATTTAACAAAACAACTCACATGAAGGAAAAGTCTAGAATGTTAGGATAACAATTAAAAGAGAGAGAGAGAGTCCCCCTGTAAGCTGTCTATGGCACAGAGTTTTGCTAGGCAGTGTGTCCGCTGTAATGACAAACAACTTGACACTTGGACACTGTCCCACTCCAACATCACGTCACAATGGCTTTTGAGGACATGTTCATGGCTTTACAGCCTGGCCTGAAAGTGTGACCACATCCCCCTCCAAGAAGACAGGCAGGAGCTTGCACAGCTCTTTCCCATTACCACTTAGTGGGCACAAAACATTTTTTCCCCCAGAGTAAGCTCTCAATTCGCCTTCTAAGGTTAAAAAGCTTTCAGCTTCAGCTCCTCTCAACAACAAATGGCCAAAGTGGTGGTTTCATGCTGGCCCCTCAACTTGCCCAACAGGCAACGCTTGTCCCAGCCAGAAGGCTGTTAGATTATCACCACAGTAATTCTAACCTGCACTGGACTGTGGGTCTCTTCCACAGGCGTCCCACAGGCATTACCATCAATGCCTGGAAATGTCAGCCTCCTCCCCAAACAGTTTTGCTTGGAATGCCCTGTTCAAAAGCACTGTCACACAATCCCCACAGTTCACGCTCAGTCCCAAACAGCCAATCTTTCTGAGATTCTTGATTCTAATCTACGACTAGGTCACTTTAACTAATGCCTGACACACTACATTCAATTCTACTCCCCTGAAAAGAGAGAGAGAAATACTCACTATTGCTCTCTCTCCAGCTGGTCCACAGGGAGCAGAAAAGCACAGAGCACTAGAAGCCATGGCTCCAGTCTCAAACCCCAAAAGAGTGGGTTGTTTTTTTCTGGGACCAATGACAAAAGAATTCTCAACTCAGTATTACATCATTTGATTCACTTATTTAGCAACGTCTGATTTTTCTGGTGGTTCCCAAACCCCAAACATTCTTGGAAAAGTAGACTATACTGTATGATCATGGAGAACACTATTTTGTCAAAATGATTCCATACACACCCTAGCCAGGTGTGGTGGTGCACACCTTTAGCCCCAGCACTCATGCAAAAGAAGACAGGTCTCTGAGTTCCAGGTCAGCCAGGGAACAAACGTGGCAAAACACAGTTTTTTTGCTTGGGTTTTGGTTTTGGTTTTTGTTTGGATTGTTTTTGTTTGTTTGTTTGTTTTTGGGGTTTTTTTGGGGGGTCTGCCTATTCGAGCCACAGTGAAACCCACAGATATACATGCACACAAATATCCTGATTCACTGCAAAATCTTTCAAAGAAAAAAAGAAAGAAAGAAAGAAAGAAAGAAAGAAAAAAAGAAAGAAGGAAGGAAGGAAGGAAGGAAGGAAGGAAGGAAAAGAAAAGCTCTTCATCATTATAACTAACAAGTTCTGCTTTCAGCAAACTCCCATAGTCAGAGCCTATAACTTCATGGAAGAACAGAACTTGTTGCAACAATTAGTGCTAGGCCGTAGCATGAACAAAGCACCGCAAATAAACTCCACAGGCCTTCAGACAGAAGGTTGTGTTTGTAATTAACTCCAACGCACTCTCATCACCCCCTCCCCAGCGCTCCACCCTGCCCAGCACCCTCCAGGGCTCCCGTTCTCAATCTGGTTTCCATTCGAGCCCCGCCCCCTTCCCCAAGCCTCTCTGGGACTGTGAATCAATCCCATCCCGGGCAGGAAACGGGACCCGGGGCAGCCCCCTCTGCTGTGGCGGAACAAAGGAGTGGAGCGCAGCTGCACGCGCACGGCGATCCACCGGGTCCTGCGCCCCTCCTCATGCGCTGCGGCCCCGGCGCACCGCACCTGAACCCCACTCCCCCCGACGCCCCATTGTTCTACCTCCGCTTCTCCTTCCCACAGGAAGCCATAGCCATGTCCTTCCACAGAACCCGGGGCCAGGAAACTCCAGCGGGCCAGAGGGATGGAAGAGGGGTAGGGTGGGCCAGCGGAAAGCGGGGTTCCCCCAGTGCCCATAGGTACGAAGAGGATAACAGAGTGAGAGCAACTTAGTTTCCAATCCCCCGACCACCCCCCCCCATCTCTCCTGCCAGCCCCGAAGCCACACGGAGCAGCGATCACCCTCGATGACCTCGAGCGCGCGTGGGTTCATGCTCCAGCGCTGCCGCGTCCCACAAGAGCGCCCGGGGAGCCGGTGACCTGCGATCGCAGGCTGCGGCTGAGCCCGGGGCGGCGCGCACAAAGGCACAGGCGGGAATGGACCCGGCACGGGCGAGCGCAGCGTACCTCACCCGGCGCCCGCTCTGCCGCTCCGCCTCCGCGTACTGCTCGCTGGCCGTCGCCTGGGGAACGCGGGTCCGACCCGATGCGGGGCTCGTGCCACAGCTGCTGCCGAGGGTCCTGCGCCGCTCAGCCGACCGCTCGACCCGCGTACCTACACCGCGTCCGCCGGCCCGGCTCCGAGTGCGCTGGCTTCAGGAGCGGCGGCGGCGCGGCCACTCCCCTCTCCCGGCGGGGGCGGCGACCTCTCCCGGACGCGCCCCTCGCTCCCCGGGGCTACGGCTCACCAAGGCGCAGGACTCACAGCGCCCCCCGGTGAGCACCCGAAGGGCCAGGACACTGGGACGCACGCTGACCCTTCACCTTGGTCTCTGCAAGATCTGCTTATTGCAGACCAGAAACGCAGAGCCCAACAACTGGAAGACCCCGGGCGCGAACACCAGCACTCCAGAGAGCATTCCTTTTCCATATTAACTCCTCTCCTAGGTCAAAGTTTAGGTGGCAAAGAATATCACAAAATGCTAATTTACTGTGAAAGAACACAGCATGCGGTGCGAACCTTTTATTGTCTCTGTCACTCACATACATATGGAATATAACGTTGGGTATTGGGCACTTGACTGGTCGTCACTTGGTAACGATAGAGGGGCAAGAGAACCAGGACCCCCAGCTTCTGATCACACCAGTCACATGACCCTGGGTCTGCCTTCATCCTGGAAGAAGGAAGGGTGTTCATCAAATTTACTCATGGGGTGAGGTGAGGATTACTTGCTGAGGTGTCAAAAGCACTGCAGACACAGTAATTATTACTCATGAGTCTAACTACTTTATCCTATAATGAAATAAATTGCCATAAATGGGGCCAGGTCTAAATGCACTGACCTATATCTGGAAACTGTCACTAAAATGAGGTGAACCAAAGATTTCAAACCTTATATAGTCACTCTGTCTAAATAGCACTGGGATTTGTCAAATGCCACCAGGACCTCTAGGAACTGTATCTGCTAGGAATTCTACCATCCTCAATGCCACCCACCATCAGCATCAGTTAGATCTTCAGTTGGCTCGATAATGGGCTAAGCTAACACATTTTCAGTATTGGGTACAATTTTATCTACTATTCACAGAAACCTGTGACATGAGCTACTTTCTTATTTTTGTTTTAGAGACCGGGACAGCCAAGGACAGACTGTGGAGAAACCTCCACAAATTCTTTGGTACGTCTGTCATTGAGGACAACTATTTGATTGCCCTCCTCCTGATTGCAGGCTGAACTTACAACTGAATTCTAACAAATGGGAAACAGCAAAAGAAATGTGACCATCCTAGCTAATAAAGGAGGTGTGTCATTTCACACACACACACACACACAGAGAGAGAGAGAGAGAGAGAGAGAGAGAGAGAGAGAGAGAGAGAGAGACACCACCCCCACCAGGTATCCCAGGCTGAGAGTGCCAGTGTCAGCTATTCCTGACATGTGAGTGGGTGAGCCTTTAAAATGACTCTAGCCACAGTCACTATACTCCACATGGGCTAAGACCTACAGAGAAAGCCCCGGTAAGTTAAGTCAATCTCCAGAAACACAAACTTTAAGGAGAAGTTGTCATTGGAATGGTTGTTAATACATACTTGCCATAGTGGCAGCATGATTGTCTCCATGACAGGTTATCAAGAGAGCTACCCCAGGCCTTGACAGCCTAGTGTGTCCAAGACAACAGCTCTCAGCTTCCAGAGAAGCAACATACAGACCTGCCACCTGGCAACATGTTTTAGACACACATCTCTAATTTGCCCCCATCTTTGGTTCCATATGCTTATAGCAACTGAATAGTAGCAGAGCCTCTGAACTCCGCTGGCCAGTCTGCTTTATCAAAAATAGCAGAAATGCCAATGTCAGGTACACAAACAGTAGGGAAATGCCAAAAATTTTTGGAGACAGAAGTCTGTGTATCATAGACTTGCTTCAAACCACTGTATAACCTAGGGTGACTAATCTTCCTGTGTTTGCTCCTGTGTCCTTGGGATTTATGCAGACCCCTTCAACCACCTGTTTATTTCGTGCCATGTGGAAGATGAACTCAGGGCTTCATACATGCTTGGTAGACATTCCGTCAACTCAGCTACATCCCCACACCTAGAATTTTTTTATCATAGATGTTGGTCGGGTTTTAGTAAAGAGTTTGGGACAAGATACTTCTCGGTGGGGTTATTTGGAGGAATACTGAAAGAAAGTCTTGAGGATGTATGCCCCAAGAAAGGATGAGAGTAGTTCTGCCTTCAGTCTCCCATAGTGGCGGGGTTGGGGGGGGGGGGAGCTGGGGTTTTCTTCCTGCTTTTAAGTGGTTCCAAAAAAAGTACTAGGAACTGCTACTCTATCTAATAAACACTGAGAAAATTAACCAAGAAACTATCAGAAAACTAATGGAAAAACAGCCTGAGAGCATGTCACAATTACTTTTAAAAACACCATTAGCCTAGTTTTCATAATCCTCAGAGTTTCTGAGGATGCACCACAGGGTTTGAAATCCCTTCGCCTTCCTGGCTGTACTTTGAAAAAGCCAATCAACCAAGAACTTTTAAGAAAAGATGAAAGTTTTTTTGATGGTTGTCAAAAGTTGATAAACCCACCAACTACAAAGGCATTTTTTACTTTCTCCTTGGTCTTTCTGGAGGAAACAAAGACTATTATATGAAGGGTTTGGGATGGAAAATGCAAATTATCAAGTCCCAAGAGTAAAAGGCCAGACTTCACCCTGTAAACCAGTACAGAGGCTGGTCTGTATGGGGGTTCACGCTCTAACAATGGAGCCTGTGCCCAGGCTCACCCTCTAACATTGGAGTCTTGCCTCTCTGTGGCAAGCTCCGAAGTGAAATGCTGTAGAAGTTCTTGTCTTAGCTGTCTTTACTTAGGCTCTTTCAAAACATTTGTAGGGGCCAGTAAGACAGCTCAGAGGGCAAAGCACTCTGGCAAGCCTAGCAGCCTAAGCTTGATCCCTAGAACCTCTACAGAATAAATGAGAGCTGACCCCACAAAACTGCCCCTAACCTCCACATGCACTCCAAGCCTCCCCCAATAACAACAATAATGAGTAAATTTTTTGTTAACGGCATAAAACGTTCTTTAAGGAGCTGAGCATCATCAGTACAAAGGAACAATGGCAGAGCCACAAAACCTGTTCCTGTCTTATTTTGGTGTTAGCAAGCACAAGAATGGGCTAAATGCCATAATTTCAGATTCCTTCAGTGTTGCTGGCTGAGCTGGCTTTGCAGTTTGGACCAGAGGATTCACATTCCAGCCTCTGCTGGCTAGTTTTATGTCAACTTGACACAATTGGAGTCATTTGGGAAGAAGGAGCCTCAGCTGAGAAAGCTCCCCACTAGCCTGGCAGAAACTGTGGGTCATTTCCTTGACTGATGATTGATGTGAGACAGAACAGCTCACTGTGGGCGGTGCTACTCCCTGGCTGTGTATGTATGTGTGTGTGGGGGGGGGGGGATCATCCCAGTCAGTAGCATTCCTCTATAGCCTCTACATGGTTCGGAATCCATTTGTCTTCCTGGCCAACCAGGAAGCCAACCAACCAAGAACTTTTAAGAAAAGAGGAAAGTTGTTTCAATGGCAAAGGCATTTTTACTTTCTCCTCGGTTCCTGCCTCTGGCCTTGGCTCCTGCCCAGTCTTCCTTCAGTGATGGACTGTGTGATGTAGAAGTATAAGCTGGATAAATCCTGTCCTCCCAACTTGCACTTGGTCCTCGTGTTTTTATCACAGTGATAGAAAACAAAACTGCCTAAGTCTTTTATAACTAGCAGGAAACTTCTGTTTTTTTCTACATTATTGCTCCTCATCTGCCCACCTAAATGCTTAGTCAACACCCATTGCACTTGTTATTTGAGACCAAACTCAGACTCATCTGTTTCTGAGCACAGTGCTGAGGTGAACCCTGCTGTCTGCCATGGCAACATCCGTGATGCTGCATTTGCTGCAGGTTATGAAACCTATCTACTTACATTCATATAAACATTGACTTCTCTAACTGATTAATATCGGCCTGCATATTTAACCAGTCAATCACTCTGAAAACAACATGGAAATGAGGACATTTTCACCCCCAGAAAAGTTCTGTCTTAGGGTTTTAAATGCTAAGTTGAAGCATCATGACCAAAAAGCAAGTAGAGCAGGAAAGGGTTTATTTTGCTTACACATTCATATTGCTATTATCATCAAAGGAAGTCAGGACAGGAACCCAAACGACTGGAACCTGGAGTTAGGAGCTGATGCAGAGGCCGTGGAGGGGTGCGGCTTACTGGCTTACTCTCCATGACCTGCTCAGCTCACTTTCTTGTAGAATCCAGGACCAGCAGCCTAGGGATGGCACCACCAACAATGGGCTGGGCTCTCCTCCCCCAACAATCACTAATTAAAAAAATGCCTTACAGTGAGATCTTATGGAAGCAGTTTCTCAGTTGAGGTTCCCTCCTTTCAGATGACTCTAGTTTGTGTGTCAAGTTGACATTAGACAAGTCAGCACAATTTCCTACTCCAAGAAGGAAACCATCTTACAGAGAATGTCTTGTGCTAGAGGGCAGGCAATCCTGAGGCTTCACATGCATGCTGTCTCAGCAACCTTCACAGGAGTGGATGGTCATCCTTGCACTCACTGTGTTAGAGATGGTGAAACCCACCCCAGAAAAGTTAACGCTCATGCTGTTGGGGTTGCACAGCAACAGCAGGGTATTCACTGTGGCTCAGCCTTGACATCCTGGTTTGTTTCCTATCCTTGGAGGGTATTTCCTCTATGAGCCATTTCCCCCTTTTGTCTCATGAAACATCTAACATGTTATTTACATAGCCTTCCACATACCTGAAGCACTAAGTGATTCCTAAGTATTTTCCATGCAAAAGGAAAATTGTCCATGGTTAAAGAGCACTTTGAAAGTAAGTGCTTACTACTGACAGATTAGGTAGTGCCTTTTTAAAAACCTTTCTATGAAATTTTTAGCATCCAGGACTCATATAACTTTTAGCTATGCATTTAAAAAGCTGTAGATATACTACAGCTGGCCCCTCTGAGGTATATAGCAGGGCGGCAGTGGCACACACCTTTAATCCCAGCACTCAGGAGGCAGAGGCAGGAAGATCTCAGAGATCAAGGCCAGCCTGGTCTACAGAGAGATCCAGGACAGCCAGGACTAGG